AATTAATAAAAAGACCTAGGGTTATGGTTCACCATGCTTATACTTCTAAATCTATCAAAATACCAATACAATTCAATCAATCAATTGTCTAGAGCAATAGCTAAGCCTACGGTCTGGTCTTAACGCTCTCAATTTAACATATGCAGTCTGGTCAGTAACATAATCATAATTGCTAATTGTAGGTAAGCCTCTAAAAGTAAGATCTTTCGATTCAAACTCTTATTAACAACAATTAATCAAACAATTGATCAGGTTGCAAGATTAATAAGAAAACACTATCAATTAGAGATATCAATAATCAAATCATAAATAATATCAATCAAGAATTAAAGTATAAACATGGATTCCCAAACCCTAGAAATTTAACTACTAAAACATGAAATAAATAATTAAAGATAAATCTAATAAAGAAAGCATAATTAAAATAAAAAAATAAAATTACCTCAATGAATAAAATTAATAAACTCAAGAACAATCCATGGAGAATCATGGAGTTGCCCATGAGAAAACTAGGGCTAGAGAGAAAACTACAACGAACGTAAAATAAAAAGTATAAAAAGGCATAAGGGAAAATATTAATCCCTTGGAATATTTAAAAACTTCCTAAATCTAATCTAAAAATAATTAAAGAAAAGAAATAAGAAAATAATATATACCTAAGTTGCAATATTATTGGATGATAGAAGGTGGTGTGGCACGAATATTATCGACGGAAACGAGGGATGAGTGATGTGCAGCAACGAAACCTTGTAGTCGTGGGCTGGTCGTGCACTCGCCAAATCCTATAGGCGCAGGTCAGCCCCACGCCCTGGCAGTAGCTACGGAGCCTCGATTGGGCGCGGGGTATGGTCGCAGGCTACCTAGCTCGGATTAAAATGGCCATAATTACTGTTCTAGGAGGATTGTTGGAGAATTTGACCTATCATTGAAAAGCTCTTCAAGTCTTGTTTTCAACGCAATTTGAATCGCATTAATCCGATTTGTAGAACGCAAGTTATGATCAAAAGAGTGGACAAAGGTCTGTTTTGCCACTTTGTAAAATATCGTTTAACTTCGTTTCTAACTCAAATTCTTTTGTGAAAGATGCATAGAGACCCTTGTGAATGCTATATTCATTCCTCATGCATATAAATCTCAAAATCAACATTCACGAACATGGTATCTATAATTAATCAACTCAATTCATCGGCTTCCATCTAAATATCATCCAAATCAACTCCAAACACTTCGAAAGCGTCCAAATGACTATCAAATTACATGATACATTAAGAAAAACAAAAAAAAGCGTAATAGAGCACAAAACAAACAATTTATGCATTTGCGACCTAAAAAGGAAAAAAAGACCTAAAAAGAAACAATAAACTTAGCATAATCGTGCCTATCATCAGTCAGAGTAGCAGCAGAGCTTTAAGCAAGAAGAATGCCACGATAAATTGAGCCCAAAAGATAGTGCAACCACCTCGTAGCAGCTTGCATATGAGCAGTTGTAGGATGTTGCATGAACTGAGTTAGAATATGAATAGAGAAGGCAATAGTAGGCCTTGTGATGGTGAGATAAATCATGTAGCCAATCTGTCTCTAATAAGAACTGGGATCTAGAAGAGGATCACCCTTGTCTGGAGTCAATTTGGTGTGACTATACATAAGGATAAGTAAAGGCTTAGATTGCAACATGCCAAATTCTTTCAGTATATCACCGATGTACTTCTTTTGAGATAGAAAGAAGCCAGCATTGATCCTATCAATCTTAATGCCAAGGAAGTATCTTACTGGCCCTAAATCCTTCATATGAAATGCTGCAGATATCATTGATTTCAATATTAGTGATATTATTACCAAAAATGAACAAATCATCAGCATAGAATAGAACCAATGTGATTATCAGTGACTTTATAGAGTAGGTTGTCATTTAAATTGGATTGAGAAAAACTCATTTGAAAGAGAGTATAAAAAATATTGTGAAACCACTTTCTTGGTGGCTGCTTAAGGCCATACAAGGCTTTCTTGAGTTTGCACACCAAAGAAGAGTTTGCAGCAGGAATTTGGTTGGGGTCAGTTGTCTGCTAAATTCTGCAACGTAAACCAGTATATGAAGGAATTATGTCTTCGATAAGTGCAATTTCTATATACATTAAGGATTACTATTATGGAGATAATAAGTTCATTCTTTTAGGCCGTCATTGTCTGTTGCTAGATATGATAAATAATGATCTTTAGGCTAGTCAAATAGTCCAAAGCCCAATAGAATGGATCCTATGTGGTCACACAACAAGGGTATTAAGTTAAACAAGTAAGAAGCTCATTAATGGGCCTCATGAGATCATGATAAACCATACTGAAGAGTGTTGGGCTAGAGTAGTTTTATTAGGATTAGAAGTTTTGGCTTCACATGAACTCTTATTTAGAGATATGATCTATAAATAAGATCCACGACTTAGTATGAAACCACAATTGACAAGTCAGTTAATTGTAATTCAAGCAACCAAGTCCCAAAACTCTAATTCTCTCTCTCTCACTCACGGCTTTCTATCTCCTCCCCTCGTCCGTACTGTCGGCCACCCTAGGTGGCGCGTGTGGTGGTTCGTGGTTAGTTCATCTTTCTCTCTTCTCCGTAGAAGGTCAATTGAAGAGTTCAATTGCAACTAACTAGCATTAGTGGAGGTTTAATCTGTGCCCGTGGACCAAGTAGAGGAATCACGTTTGGGGGTTCTTAGTCTTCCTTTTGTTCTTGCTCGATTGCTAGTGGATTCACGCTTCAAAGGTATTATTAATTGTTGTTTATGCGTTATGCATTGTTCTTGGTGTTTAGATGCTTATGAATATGATTCATGCAATTTCGCTTATAGTATCTAAAGTCCTACAGTGGTATTAGTTAGCCTATGCATGTACATATATTGAATTTTAATTCTTTGAATGTCCATAATTTTAATTCAATTAGGAGGGAGAATAATTTAATTATAGGTCAATTTTTATTTTAAATGTGATTTAACAAATAGAATTATTAATAGTTGTTTAATTTGCTCAAGATTATCCATAAAAGATCCAAATTTTTGCCCTCATATGTCCGAAATTTTCGAACCCCCAAACCCTTAATTTTTAAATTCGAAACCCTAAACCCTGAATTGTGATTTTTGTGTTTTGGTTTTGATTTAATTCAATTCCTATATGATTTATGATTTTAATCTATTTGATTTCATGTTAAATTTTGAATTTTTCATGATCAAATTATTTAATTTAAGGGTTAAATTGAATTGGCGATTGATTTCATGAAAAATCCTAATTTCAAGATTGAATATGATTTAATTTTGAAATTAATTGGACCACATTAAATGAATTTATTTTATAACAAAAGAATTGTTATAATTTAAAAATAAAATAAAATTAAAGGGATTTGTGTGCGGGGGTGGCGTAGCCACGGCGACCGCCGCTGTAGTTGGTCCCGAGGAGGGGCAGTAGCTCGGACAGTAGGAGCAGCAACAACAATGCCACACAAGTGTTGCGTGCGCTGCTGCTGCTATGCGTCGTTGCTTGCGGTAGTGTACACTAGCCGATGTACGACCAGCGTGGCTAGCTTCGGCTGGCCACATCACGTGGCTGGCGCGTTTCTAAAAATTTAAAATTCCTTATTTTATTTTAATGAAAAATCAGATTTTAAAACAAAAGATACGTTTTGATTTTGAAAGATAATTATCAAATTGAGGTGGTTAATTTTGTTAAGTTTGGATAATTATCGAGCAAAAGGTTGTATATGGATAATAATTGATTTAATAATGAGATTATCCCATAATTATTTTTGGATAATAATTGATTTAAAATTTTGTGATTGACCAGGCAATTAGGATAGAATCTCCTCAATTAGTTAGGATAATCATGGGAAATAAATATGATTTATCTTCCGTAATTAAAATAAGATTTGATTCTATCTCATACCTAAGATATATATGATATTTCATGATTGGTAATTGTAAGGAATATTTCAAGCATCCCACACTTGAGCTCCACTGTGATAATATACTTAAGTATGGTGGCGTTCAAAGGAAAGGAAACTAGAGCAAAAGAGTCGCCACAAGTTTTAGAAACTTGTAAACTGTAAGGAGGGTGATCCCATCGTATGGGGTCCTTCCTTAGATTCTCATGACCATTTAAAAGCCTAGGACTTTACACTTGTTAAGGTGTAGTAGGATTTGAATTCCTGACTATTTAGGGGACCTTGAATTAGAATTGATTCTATCATCACGCTTTTTTGTAAGAAACAAGTAGCAGTCGCCAATGAGTTTTGGGAAAACCCATAAACCTCGTTCATGCCTTTCTCCCATGTGGATTTCATGGGATATTTAGCACAAATCATAGGTTTAACCATGCCCAAATTGGTCTACATAAATCAGAAATGAGTTCGGAAGCGAGGGTACTAAAATAATGTTCCCTTCAAAGGAGAATCGCTATTCTAGCCCTAGTGCGGCCTCTACTAGTTTTTCCTTTTTCACAATTTCATTACCAAACAATATATGCAACGTGATACCTAAAGAGTAATTTAGTTGATTTTATTTACAAGCATTAATCATGTAGGAATTACATTGCAAAGTCATTATTCTTTATAAAATTCAAATTCGTGAAAGGAGCAAAAGTAAACAAGATTCGCCTTGGCTTAGGTGATCAATCAATCAATTAATTATTCAATTCTAATATTATTTAACACAAGATACTATGTGGAATTAATTAAAAGTTTGTTTAAATTTATCAAACAACACTATTTATTCAATTAAAGTTATTTAAACAATGAAAGAAAAGTGATTTATTTAAGTGCTCAGAAAACTAACCGTTCTTCTTTTATGTTTAATCTCCGTTTAATGCGTTTATGGACTTCACTAGTAGAAAAATAGCAATAGGCAGCCCCCATATGGCATCAGTTCAGGCCAAACCGGTGGCCAAAACCGGTCTAGAAATGGGCGGGATTTTAGAACATGAGAAAAGGCACCGGTTTGGCCTACACCGGTGCCAAAAATAAAAAAGACACCGGTTTGAACCGGTGCCAGTTGAACCGGTGCCCTTGTTAGATTAAAAAAAAAAAACCAGTCAAGCTTTATCCTTAGCTGTCCTTTATATTCCTAACCCTAAATGAGAACTCAGCTTCATTCTCTCTTATTATTAGCTGCCTCTCTCTTCTCTCTCCTCTCTGTCATCCTTCATTCTCGATCTCTCCGACCACAACGAAACCTCAGATCTCTTCTCTATTGTCCTCCTTCTCTGTCCAATCTCACTCTCCTCTTCTTTCCCCCCTCTTCTCCGACCTTTCTTCTCCCTTTTGTCTTCTGCCCACCACCGCTACTAACCACCGCCGCCACCTACATGTTTCTGGGTTTATTATTCGAGGTAAGGGTTTACTAACCACCGCCGCCACCTACATGTTTCTGGGTTTAATATTCGACGTAAGGGTTTCTGGGTTTGATTATTTTTGGTAAATGCCTTGATTTTTTTTTGGTTTGATTGTTGTAATATTGTTCGAAATTGATGGGTTTAATTGATTTTTGAATTTTCTGGGATGATTTTGAATTTTTTTGCGTTTAATTGATTTTCGAAATTGATTTTTCTGGGTTATGAATGTAATTGATTTCGAAAATTTCGGGAATAATTTTAATTGATTTTTCTGGGTTCTGAGTTTAATTGATTTCGAAATTGATTTTGAATTTTTTTTTTTTTGCGTTTAATTGATTTTTCTGGGTTCTGAGTTTAATTGATTTCAAAAATTTTGCTTTTAATTGATTTTTCTGGGTTCTGACTTTACTTGATTTCAAAAATTTTGGGAATAATTGATTTCGAAATTTTTGGGGTTAATTGATCTTCGAAAATCTTGGGGTTTAATTGCTTTTCAAAATTTTGGGGTTAATTGATCTTCGAAAATTTTGGGATTTAAAACACATTCAAAAATTTTGTGGTCAATTGTGTTTCGATTTTTTTGGGTTTTTTTTGTTATTTATTTATTAAATTATTTTGATTTTTGAGTTCGTACATGATGCATGAGTTTTCTGGGTTTTTTTTTGCATTTTTTTGTGAGTTTTATTGATTTTTGGCTTTTAATTGATGCAGGTGTTAATTGATGCACAAGGATTCAAGACTTTGATTTTGGAATATTGTTTTTGATGTTGTAATTTTTTATTTGTATTTTTCAATATCAATTTAACGTTGAATTTTATTGTATGATTATAATTCATTGTATTTTTTTTATATTTTTTTTGTATTGTACAATAACAGTTTAATATATTGTTATATTTCATTGTCTTTTGCGCTTGTTCTAATTTATATTTTGATGTTCTAATTTATTTTAGTTGATTTAATTTTTAAGTGAAAAAGGCAAAAAAAAAAAAAAAATATTTTGGGCAGTTTTAACCGGTGCCAAAACCAATGAAATAAATATTTTGGTTCATTTTTGGCACCGGTTAACCGGTGCCTAATTGGGTATATGGCACCGGTTTTGAACCGGTGCTAAAAAGGGGGGTATTTGGCACCCCCCACATAGGCAGCGGTTCAAACCGGTGCCTTAGACCGGGTTTGAACCGCTGCCAAAGCACTTTTTTCACCTAGTGCTTTCTTTCTTCTTCGTACCTACAAGACTTCAATGGATTCAATTAGGGTTGGAAAGTATTTGGGAATAGAGAAGAAAAGGTAGTACGATAGTAAGAAAAGTTGAGATTTGGGTTTTGAGAATGCTAGGGTTTTTAATTCTGATTTTTCGGTCCCTATAATGTTGAACGAAGATCCCTATTTATAGGCGTAGGGATCTAGGTTTAGGGTTTTAGAGTTGCGCCGTCATGTGGCGCGCGCAACTCTTTGAGTCACGCTGGGTTCCGCGCGCATCTCAATGAGTCGTGCGCGCCAGGCGCGCGCAACATACTGAGTTGCGCTGGGATGCGGTTTGCCTTATACGAAAACGCGTTTTTAAAACTTCCATAACTTTTGATTTCAAAGTTGGATTTATGCGTGTGAGATATCATTGGAAATATCTGAATGTCAACTTTCTAATACCGTTAGAATTAGGTTAAAATCTTTTATGGATAGAAAGATATGGCCGTTGGGGTGCAAGGGTGTCAGTTTTAGGACCCGGTGTTTTGATCATAACTTTTTCGTTTTAACTCGGAATTGGGCTTATAATATACCGTTGGAAAGCTCTTTGAAAGGGATATCCATTTGAATAGTCCATGAACGGAAATATGATGGTTGTTTTATCAGTTTGGCTCGTTTTTCAACAATGTAAGATCCATTGGATCGATTCATTGCATTAACCGCATTTGGGTCCGTTATTAATCAAGTTTAAACATGTATGAGCACGTTTTAGGCCTATTTAGTAATCGGAAAAGGATATAATATTAGTTGGTCTCAAATATGAGTTTTAACTTACTTCATAATGCATTTCGTAGTCCATAAACACTTCAACTTTGATCTAACATGAAGAACGGATTTTTGTAACATCATCGCACTTCCTTTCGGGACAAGAGGCCAAAAGTAGGTATCTACAGTTAGCCCCACTTTGATCGAGTCTAGAATAGGCGATGATCAAGGTATTCAAGGAAATAAATCCGAGACTCACTCTGCAAAGTTCTCAAAGAATAGAGAATCTTTCAAAAATTTTAAGGATGTCGAAACGATCCTTGATTCGCTAAGTGTTTGGGACAAGTAGCTACTAAGGCAAGAAAAATTATTTTAGTCTTAGTGCGCTAAAGAATCTAGATTGATCCTTTGCAAATGTAGAACACTTTCACAAGTAAAGGTATTCTGGGTGATGTCATGTCATGAAAAGAAATTGGTTTAAAAAAGGAGTAAAGGGGATGATTTCCTTTCGATCATGTCATCGTTGGTCTAAAGTCCCTCAATATGTCATTGAAACTTTAGCTTGATTTTAATAAGGTGAAAGATGGTAAAAAAATGTTTCGGCTTTCGCAGCCTAAACATTTCGGCTTTCGCAGCCAGAATAGAGTTCTTGACAATTTGATCGTCAAATGACAGGGTAAAGTCGTATCCCCTAATCAAAAGTAATTACCTAAGTCCTCTAAATAAAGTAGATAGGGAAGTAGGGTCGAACTCCACAGGGAAACAAGTCTTTCTACTCCTAATTAATTATTATAATCTAAATTATCAAAGTAACCAATATTGTTGCAAATAAAGTCTGTACTACGAAGAATAAGATCGAAGGAAATAAAGTAGGGAGAAATTAAATATTAAAAGACCTAGGGCGTAGGTTCACTAATAAACAATATTCCAGGGCAAATCATAATAAGCAATCATCAAGCATTGATTAATCAGATTACAAAGGGCTTTCACTACGTATTATAATCACAGAGTTAATTTACCGGTATTAAATCTCATCTGTCGAGTCTCGACTTAACCATTATAAATTAGTCCGCCTATTGAAACTAAGCCTAAACATCAATTCTCATCTGTCGAATCTCTAATTAATATTGCTAAACATCAATTCTCATCTGTCGAATCTCTAATTAATATTGCTAAACTCATACAATTAAATCTGGTCAAACCTAATTGCATAGCATTAAATCAATCAATAGGAAATTAACCAAGCATTGATAATCAACAATCACAAATTTACCCCTTCATATTATTTATTAGATCCCCACAAACCCTAGAAATTAAACTACTCACGCATCATCATAACAAAACTAATCAAATAGATAAAGCAAAACATAATCAAAGAAGTAAATAAAATAGCTGAAATTAAAAGAGAAGAAATTGTTACCAAAAGAAATCTTGATTAATGAAAGTAATTAAGAACAAAGTTGAGAGAGAATTCAAGAGAGAGAAAATATCCAAAGTAGAGAGAGAAATTCTAAAAGAGAGGGTAATAAAAAATTACGTACATAATTCGTACTTAAACATTCCTCAAAAAAAAAATTAATACAAAACTAATCATCTACTAAGAAAAACACGCGCCGGATCGGGCGAAGGGCCGCCCGATTGGGCCCGCCTTTTTTCTCTGTCCACTGCTGGTGCGCCGCGCCCGATCGGGCGCGCTTCTTCCTTAAGGGTGCCTTTGCGTGCAGCCGCCCGATCGGGCGTATGCTTGTCCGATCGGGCCCGGCTTCTTCTTCGAGGCTTGGATTTCGATTGGGCTCGATTCCTTTGCCCAGTCTGGATTTCCTCATCGGGTCTTGATTAATTGATCCAATAGCCCCGATATCACATACCGAACCCTTAATCACCGGCTCTCACCGATCCTGGGCTTCAAGAATGGTCGTGTCCTTCTAGCTTCCGTAGTCGATCCATGAAAACCCGGGAAAATGCTCCAAAAGTGCAATTTCCTGTAAGGATAATTTGCCAATTACTACTGTTAGTTAATACCACTTTGTAAATTACTATCGCAAATTAAAAAAGTTGTGAATTATTACCGCTAAAAATTTTAAGATGTTGCGATTACTACCAAACCCCCATTAAATCACTAGTACAAAACTAACCTTAAGTAACACCCAAAAAGTGTTACACAATGTGGTAAAAGTGTTATTATAGACAATAGGTAACACTTTATTGGGTGATACTTCCGCTCATGTTACCTAAGGTCTTATGTAACACTTTGGGTAACGTATGGTAACACTTTCAAAAGTGTTACTATAAACCCTCTTATGTATTACTTTTTATATATTTAGTATCATTTTCAAAATGTTACTTTTTATATCTTATGTAACACTTACTTATCTTAGGTAACATTTTTCAATCATAGAGTATCACTTTATCCGACATTATGTATCACTTTTTCGAACTAATATAACACTTTGTTGATTATTAGGTAACATTTTTTAATCATCTTTTGACATATATTATCACTTTATTAGACATTATGTATCACTTTTTGCAAACTAATGTATCACCTTATTAATTAATAGGTATTATTATTATTATTGTTATTATTATTATTATTATTATTATTATTATTATTATTATTATTATTATTACTATTATTATTATATATTATTATTTAAAATATTCAATTTTTAGATTTTTAAAAATAAGTATTATATTAACATATACAACTACAAATGTGAAATTAATATATATGAGAGAATAATTTGAATTGGTATTATTTCATAGTTTCATTACAAAAAAAAAAAAACAAAAAAAAAAATCTATAAACACCAATTTTTTTTTTATTTGTCTAAATAATCTAAACAAAAAGAAAGTCAAATTCAGTCACTAAACAACCAAATTACAAAATACTCCGTAGAAAGAGCAAAATATCAGTCACTCCAGTAGAAAGCAGTCACCAGTAGACCAATCGTAATAGCAGCTAGCAACTGCTAGCGGTAATATGAAAACAACAACATCTAGCAGTAATAGCGAACAACAGAAGCTAACAGTACCAGCAGCAAACATCAGACATCAATACTAGCAGTTTACAGTAGCAGAAGCCGTTTACAGCAGCAGAAGCTGTTTAAGCAGCAGAAGCAGTTTACAGTAGAATACAACAGCATACAGTAGTAATAGCTGCAATAGTGACATCAGTAATAGTGAGAGCAACAACAACACTAGATGTATGCTACAAATTCTTTAAGGGAAGCCAATAATGTTGATTTAGAACTAAAGTCAACTTACACAATGAGAAATAAAGAAATAGTTAGCAGCCAAGAATAAAAGGCTTTAACAATCTAAAGAGGTAAGAACACATTATGCCCTTGATTTGCAACAAGTAAACCAAAATAAGCTATAATAAAGTTTGAACATATCATACAAAAGACCTCAAAATAATAACACATGCACTTTAAACTATAAATAAAGCAAAAATCTCACAAACTGGAAGTCTTAACATAATAATCAATTCATAAAAATGTGTATTTAGAGAAGATTAAAGGATTCAAGACTTCAGATTTAATCTTAAAAAACTGTAATTAATCATAAAAGGATTTAACAACACTTTGAGTAATTTTTTTTCTTCATTCTATATACCTTCTCTACTTCCTCCATTTATATTCTTCCGCCGTGCAAGAAAATTAAAGCAACTTATCTGCGAATAGAGCATACATAATATATGTTGGGATCAAATTCTTTGAGCCTAAATTTGCAAGAGCCATTAATGTTAATTTTGAGCTATTTGGCTTAATTTCTTAGAGCCTAAGTATTGTAGGATTAATTAAAAGTAGACTATTAATGTTAATTTTGAGCTATTTGGCTTAATTTCTTAGAGCCTAATTTAAGTTTGCAAGAGCCATTCAAATCAAACCATTGAAACACATAACTAAAAAAAATGATATAAGCGTGTGTAACTTATTTAAAGATTAAAT